TGAGCGTTTCAGAAGCAAGTTCTCTGAAGGTGCGTGGTCTCGGGTGTCAGGCGGCCGTCATCCGAAGGACAGTATGAAGGCCCGCCCCCGACTTTCCCAGCCTTTCCCTGCAGCCCAGCCCCTCAAGGAAGGGGCGGCGATGTAGGGTCGAAGAGGGGCGTAACGGGAGAACGGATGTAATCCCAAGGCTTCGGTTAGGGTCGGGTCGGCCTAACCCTAGCCTTCCTCTTCAGCATGTGATGGTCTTCCTCCTCCTCCTCCTCCTCCTCCTCCTCCTCCTCCTCCGCCTCCTCCTATTCCTCCTCCTCCTCGTCCTCCTCTCCTCCTCCTCCCTCCCTCCTCTCCTCCTCCCTCCTCCTCCTCCCTCCCCCCCTCCTCCCCTCCTCTCCCTCCTCCTCCTCCTCTCCTCCTCCTCCTCCTCCTCCACCTCTTCCTCCTCCTCCCCTTCCTCCTCCTCCTCCTCCTCTCCCTCCTCCTCCTCCTCCTCCTCCTCCTCCTCCTCCTCCTCCTCCTCCTACTCCTCTTCTTATGTATAGTATTATTATTCTTCTTATTGGTATTGTTAGTATTCGTATTATTCTTATTATTATTATGATGGTTATTAGTATTATTAATAGTTTTATTATTATTAGTAGTAGTAGTAGTATTATTATTAAAAAATACTACTAATATTATTATTAGTATTATTATTATTATTAATAGTAGTAGTGTTATTATTATTATTATTACTACTACTATTATTATTATCATTTTTTATTATTAGTATTAGTATTACTACTACTATTAATATTAATATTATTATTATTAGTATTATCAGTATCTGTGGTATTAATAGTAGTAGTAGTAGTATTGGTATTATTTTTTACTACTATTATTAGTATTAGTATTATTCCTCTTGTTCCTAGATTATTATTATTCTTCTTATTCGCATTCTTAGTCGTATCATTATTGTTATTATTATTCGTATTATTCTTCGTAGTATTATTATAACATTTAGTTTTCTTCTTCGTCTTCTTAATATTATTATTGTTATTATTCGTATGCGTCTTAGTCGTCTTATTTTTATTATTCTTATTATTCGTATTATTATTAGTATTATTAATAATAATAGTATTAATACTACTATTCTGCTTCTGAATATTATTCCTCTTATTATTAGTAGTAGTATTATTCGTGTTATTGTTATTATTCTTTTTATTGTTCTTATTTATCGTCTTATTAGTATGATTATTATGTTGTTTATTCTTATTCGTATTCTTTTTATTATTAATAGTTGTTTCATCTTCTTATTGTTATTACTATTCTTCTTAGTTTTCTTCGTCTTCTTCTTCTGTTTATTTTTATTGTTCTTCTTCTTCCTCCTCCTCCTCCTCCTCCTCCTCCTCCTCTTCCTCCTCCTCCCTCCTCCTCCTCCTCCTCCTCCTCCTCCTCCTCCTCCTCCTCCTCCTCCCCCCCTCCTCCTCCTCCTCCTCCTCCTCCTCCTCCTCCCCCGCCCCCTCATCAGCGGCATCTTTAGTCATCCTATCCAGCACCTCTCGTTCACTGCCCCCCTCCGTCGTGGGAGAGCCACCATCGACACACGAGCTCAAAAGGGCGAGCGGGCGCTCCCGAGTGAACTGATCGAACGCCTCAACGCTGCAAACCCTAACATACAATTAAGATACAACTCGTTTGAAAGATCCCCCGCTGGGAGCCCCGACCGAGCAAGGGCAGGGGCGGTCCCGCGCTGGGCCCCTAAAAGCAAAAGCCTGGGACCTCTCCAAAAGTTGCGGGCGGTTTCGACAATCACGGGATTGAAACCGCGGGCCAGGGCGCGAGTTTTCAACAACTCCAACTCAAACCTTAGTGTAATATTCCGTACCATCCCAGAACACGCCGCACGCGAGTTTGCCCGCGCGAGCTGAAACCTCCGCCCTGGCCGCCCGACGCCACGCAGCATCTTCAGCACTGCGCCCAGGTCCGAAGGCCCAAAAGCGCCTTATCCTCATTAAACTCAAGAGGAGAGGCTCACCTCATTAAACTCAAGAGGAGAGGCCCACGCAGGTGCTCCCAAACGCGGACGGGCCCAACACACAACAGGATGAGCCGCAATCCCCCTTTGGGTTCCTCGAGAAGGAGGAACAACATCCAGAACAGCCGTTTACGGAACAGCCTCAAGCTATCGACAGCCTCGCTCTAAGAGCTTCGTCCGACACCAGCGAGAGCCGTTCGGGGCGAGCTCCGTCCAAGGATTGCGACGCAAGGGGGGAGAAGCCAGCACTGGCGCCGCGCATCTCCGGAGCAAAAGCTTTCAGCGAGCGCGCACGGTCGGGAACCCCCACCGGCGCAGGCCTCGACGAGGCGCGCCAAAAACGGGAAAGCGCCCCCCTCTCGACCTCAAGCAAAGCCTGGGGGGGGGACTCGACAACCGCAGGGACCCACGTTTATTTCAATTTCGCGGGCCTGTGCATCGCACGCAGTCCTCGAGCGAGGACGGTGGCCGCATGCGCATGAGCGCCCTGGCCTGGGAAATTGCAACATCAAGCCGCGCGGACATGCCCTCGCCAGTACACGGCTGGGTTGAAATTCGCAGTTCCTGCTGATGGGTGCCCTGAACAAGAGTCTCGCCACTGGCAGGGCCCGTCGCGGGATGCAGGGCCGCGGTCAGGGGCCGCGCGGCAAATCCAACCGTCTCTAAAGCATGTTGCGACAACCAAATCCACCCTTGGTTGACCAGCTCCGCGCAAGCATTTCTTGGGGCAGAGAAAATCGAGACCCAGCCCCTGGCCTTTAAGCGGAACGCTCAAAGACGACTCAAGCTCGAGCTCGACTCTGTTAGAGAAAGCCTGCCACGCATTGCTGGGCAGTTCCCAGGCGAAGCCCAGGGGCTGGCTCATCGTCACAAGCGCAGCACATTCGGCGATATCTCTCGCCAAAGTCCAATCTTGCGGTTGCGAGGCGGCTCTATACGGCAGCTCAACAAGGAGCCGCTGGTGACTTCTGTGAACAAGTTGGTACAAACGAACCGCTTGCTCCTCAAGTCGCAACCGAACAAGACGGCGGGGGCGGCCGCTCCACGAAACATCACAGCTAACGCATTGAACCGCTCTCGAGAAAGACGTCCCACACATGGAAATAAACACTCGTTCTCGACGGGAGGGCCTCCGAACGAGACCAATCGCCCCCACAAGGGCAGGCTCCAGGTTCCAATCCCCCACGCCCCCCACACACACAGCTAAGCCTTCGAGCTATAGCGCAAGACCGACGGCCTTCAGATAAGACATATCGAACTCGCACAAGCCAGCGTCGCTCTTCAAATAAACAGAGCACGGTGAGCGGGGGCCAGTCAGGAATGTCAACGATGACTTGCATCCCTCGAGCTGGAACAATAACACCACCAGTTTGGGCCAATGTAAGCAAATACGGGCCCCGCCAGGACGGCGCGGCCCCACTCGGGCCGGCCTCTGCCCCCAGAAACTCGAGGGGACGCGAACATTTTCCATCGCAACTCACTTACGGCATCACACTTTCCCCCAGCGTGCCCCCGGCGAAGCCAACCTCCTGAGCGAGGCAGATAAGCGCCGAACTTACAGCGAGTCTGTCCCGAAAGGTGCCCCAGGAATTGCTGTCATAAGACTCAATAGCCTCACCATTACCGAAGAAGCCCTCACTGTCGGAGCCGAGGCGAAGCGGAGCGGGGGGAAGCTGAACAGCGCCATGCTTGCACATACGCATGCCACAACTTTGAAGCAAAAAAAGTACGTCACCCCCGGCGCTGACGCTTAGCAAGCAACTCGGAAAGCCTCTCGTGAAAGGTCCTCTCGTCGACGCGCTGGGCGGTCCAGAAGAGGTCCTCGAGATCCTCGTCGACACCTCGGTGGCTGCTGCAGCCGCTGCTCTTCCCTCTGCGCCAGCACCGCCCGCGGCCGCTGCACTGGCAGCCGCGCCCGCGGCTGCCTCAGCCGCGGCTGCTGAGGTACCGATGGGGGCGCCTGGAGAAGGCGACACTGCACCTGCGCCTGCTGGGGCCGCTCCCCCGAAGACGCCCTCGCCGACACCCTCATCCATACGATAATCACAAGTTGCATCAAACGGAGAAGGGCGAGTCGGCGCCTTCTTCTGGGCGGGCCTGTTTCAGATGTTTGATAGTGTCACGCAACGTTTGCTCTTTTTGTTCGTGTTCACCCGGGACAGGAGATGATCCAGAACCATTGACGCCACCACCAACGGAAGACGAGCCACCACCTGTACCACTGCCAACCAGTGTGTCACAATTCCTCTGTAATTCAACAAGCTGCTTGGAAAATCTCGCCGTAGAAGTACTGCCGACGCGACTGCCCCCAAGACCACCACGAGGAGAATGAGCGCCAGCAGGAGACCGAGTAGCACCCTTTGTATTCTCACGGGCTGCCTTGGCGACCTGGGCTAGTGCTGGTTTGTCGCAGCGGCAGAACAAGCGAGACGCCCAGTTCCTGTTGAGCCCGCACGCACATGACCAATACGATGTACGCGGTCCTGGCAAGACATCGCCGCCAACTACCATGAGGAGCGCCCCTGAGAAGCGCGGACGAAGAAGCCCCGCGAGGCGCTGAAAGTGGTAGCCACAAAGACACGCAGCAGCGACTGCCGCTCTGAAGACTGCTGCTGCAAGCGCAGGCCGAAATGCCTGAGCCAGAACGGCTGAGGAGGAGGAGGAAGAGGAGGAGCGGAGAGGAGTGGAGGACGAAGTGCGCTCTCTCTTCAAATCGAGGGCCCAATACCACGGGATGGTTGGGAACAACATACGCGTAAGCTGTCGGAGGTACGCGCGGATTCCTTGGATCGACGCTGGAGGCTTCGCCAGGAGGGGCCCAGCGCCGATCCGAGAAATCAGCGCGGACCACCGACAGCTTCTGCTTGCGCCGGCACTGTCTCCCATCCGTCTTTTGTAACCTCAGGTCGTAACCTCAGGTCTCCGAATTACATGGGACAACCCACCAACGGATTGGCGGAACCGAGCGCGGCCGAGGGCGGCGGCCAGCCTGCTCCTCCTCCTCGTCCTCCCGGATGGTGCGGAGCTTCGCGGCATCCTCCGAGCAGCGGGGCGGCAGAGAAGCAAGCGCGTCCCAACAAGAACTCTTCGTGCGCCGATGGGCAACCCGACCACTGCTTACACAGCCACTGCGCTGCCAGAAGGAACGCCGAGTGAGGAACGAAGGGGCCTCTCCTGCAACGACCATGCTCCCCGACCTAGATCGAAGGAAGAACCCGAAAAACGAGCCCCATCCTGAGCTCCAGGTGGTCCTTACGTCGGCCCCACCTCTGTCTCCCCTGAGCTAGACGGCGGCAGCGAGTTGTAGAGGATCTACAGTCGGGCCCCTGAAAGGAGGAACTGTCAATAAGGAACGAAGCCTCTTTTTGAAGCGAAAAGCGCCAGCGTGCACGAGGAGGGCTAGAGGAACAGCCACAGAATGACCGAAGGAACAGTGAGTCCCTTCCGAACCCAAAGCGGTCCTTATGTCATCATCGTGGCTGTACCACTGCTCCTCTTCAAACAAGAAACACGCCCTTCCCCACTCGACTGGCGGTCAACCAGGAGCAATCAGCACCCACACCACGACCCCAGCCAAAGAACAGCACCAAATGCGCGTGGCGGCAAAATCTGGATCGTGAACGGGCACCCCGCGACCACTTCGCAGTGGTCTTGACAGCGCACTCGTACCAAAGGCCAAGGCCAACCGATCGCGGAAAAACGCGCCCCACACCATGCCGACCACCTCGCCGTCATTTGCACTGATTTTTGACAGGGACGGCGGAGGCGGGGTCGACATGCCGCCCGATGCGTACTAAAACGTTCACTGACGCACCTGCCGCCACCTGGTGCACTCTGCGCGCATCACGGACGTCGCGCATGTCGCACCTCTGGCGCGGCTGGAGCACGTGGCACGGTTGGCGCACACGGCGCATCTGACGCACCCAGCGCGTCTGGCACGCTTGGGCCCCTGGCTCGCGCGGTGCATGCCTGGAGTCTACACTGGTTCGCGTTGGCCGCCCGTCCAATGGCAACCTCTGCCTGTGTTGAGTCCCTGGCACGATTTTCATGCTCAGGGGGCGGGTGGGAGTGAGCGAGGCAGCTTGTGACTGACCCGTTAGCAACTTGCCCCCTCCCCCTACCCCTCTCTCCCGGGTCTGGAGGGGGCGAAGTGTTACGGCGTCCAAGATGACACAAGATGACTCAAGGATGGGCTCACCAAGCCAAAGATGGCCTGCAAGACGGCTCAAGAAGAGGAGCCCAAATGTTCCCAAAAGGGCCCCAAGAGAGCTCCAAGATGGCTCTGAGAGGCCTCCAGGAGGCTCCAAGAGGTTTCTAAGCTCATTATGATCGGCCTCTTGCTTCGCGACATCCGTCACCATACCACCTGGCACGCTGAGGCGTGCTAGAATGCCAAGTGCTGTCCGGCAGGAGTTCTGTAGTATTCTAGGGGCCACCCCCCTCGGCCCCGCGCGCGCGTCGCCACTCTCCCGAGGCCACACTCCCGAGGCCACAATGGGTACAAAAATACAACAAGTTCGCGCCCCCGAGGCCACACCCCCTTGCAAAATGCAGCAGGTTCGCGCTCTCGAGGCGACAACCCACCGAACAGTTCTACGGATTCGCGCTCAAGAGGCCAAGATGCCTCCAAGACGGCCCAAGTTGGCTCTAAGACGGTCCCATTTAGCCTCAAGACTACCCAAGGGGGAAAGACCTGGCGAAAAGACCACCGAGAAAGCTGTGCTGGCACGGGGGCTGGACTCAGTAAGAATGCGCGGTAACGATGCAAGGGCCTTGGACGTCCATGCCAAGGCTCTTCGAGCGGGGTTTGCCATCGAAACTGGTTGAGGATGGGCCGAAGATGACAGAAGAAGTAAGGGTGTAAGGGTACTCTTGGGAAGTCGATCATCCTTTGTATGCGGGTTGACTGTATCGATCGATCTTCCCTTCCACGGACACCTCGCCCGAGAATACACTTTTTTCGGTCGCGTCCGCTAGCGAAGGCGCAGGCGGAGTCAGAAGCTGTCCAGGGCGCGGAAGCAGGCCTAATTAGCTACAGGGCGCGCCGCAGGCCGGCCGGGCCAGCTCACAAAGCAGCAGCTGTGCCGCGTGGTGAGGCTGACTGGCTGAGGGCACCCAGGTAAGCTCGGGCAACGTGCAGTCTGACAAAATGCCAGAAAATTCTGTGTACGCCATGCGGCGTGAGCCACTCAGAGAGCACGAAGACGTACGCGTAGATGCTTACACGCCTCGCACGCCTGGAGGTCGAGCAGGCGAGGTGAACGATGAACGAGTCGCCAGCGGGGCGCCAAGTCCAGGTCCGTACCAAAGGTGTATGCAAGCTAGGTGGGCTAAGCTGCCGAGGTGACGTCGAAAACCTACCTGAATGGCTGGATTGGGTCCAGGGGAGCGAAGCGTCTGACGGAAGGCTGAACCACTCCGAAGCGTCCACGGGGCTCCCATCCCGAGCACGTGGGGCGCCGGCCCTGTGATGAACCCTGAGGGCCTGGTCCCAGTCACCCGCTGTCAAAGCGTGGGGAACATCGCACTGAGTGTGACAGACCAGGCTGGCGGGGATGAACATCGCCAGCGTGCCCATCGCCCGGGAATACAAGAAGCGTCAGGAATATCCACCAAGTGGGCGGGCTGGGAAAAGATGCGCACGTGCAGAACTATCGCCATGGGTTACGAGGAACAGGCTGTGATTGTGACCCTAGGAGTACATGGTGGAGGCGGTGTGCTAAGCTGAGTCGTGGCTGGGCAATCGCGCCTACTTACTGCAGCACGGAAACGTCCGCGAACCGGACGCGTCCGCTTGTAAGAAGAATAAACATAATCATTCGAAATGAGCACCCTCACGGTGATAACAAAATGGTGAGCAGCATCTATGCTCTGCGGCGGGGAGGTGGGTATTGGAGTGGCTGTGCCAGGGTAAGGTGACAGAAGGCGCGGTTGCCCCAGAACTCCCGGCGGGGAAGACGACAGGGCGGATGCCAGGGCAGCTCTACCGAGGCGGGGGGCGAGGTGGAGGGGGTGCAATTCCCAGGGGGAGGCGCGGGGGCTGGTACGGGGGCCAGCTCTGCCTCAGGCGTGGCGTTTGCGGGACGGGGAGGGCGGGGGGGGCACGAGTAACCAGCCTCGAGAGCTCCTGCCTGTCCTTGTGAAGATTGGCAAGCCCAAGAGCGATACCAATCTTCGGGGCGCGCCCTGAGGTAATCCTCACCATTGGCATCGAGGTAAGGTAATGACAGCCGGGTCAGTCAAGCTTTGCAGCATCCTGCAAGATCATGCAGAATCCTGCGCGCAAGCCCGGGTCAGTGCAGACCTGGCGTTGCAGGATCCTGCATCCTGCAACATATGGTGCTCTGGCTGAGTTTGCACTGACCCCCGTCTCGAGGCTCCAGTCATGGGGATGAGCATACAGCTGGATTTAATGGGACAGGACACCCGAGAGGACACAAGACTCTTCCGACGGCAACGTGGCCCCAGAACACCTAAGGACATGAGGGTTGCATAGGTCGGGAGACACAGGACAAAAGGGTACCCTCGATTTGGCATGGTCGACCTACCAAGCATCGAAGGCGAGCCCGGGGGGGAAGTGAGAGGGGGCGGGCCTTCTCTGAAGGCTCGGAAATCTCCCAGCCTTCTGAGAAGTCCCCTAAGCCTTCCCCGAAGGCACAGAAAACCTCTCAGAAGGACCGAGGGCTCCTGAGGAGTCCCGCCGCCTTCCGAGAAGGCCTTCTCCTTCTCTCCCTTCCCCCCCTCTCGCCGCCGAACAGGGGGCACCCTCGAGTTGGCACAGTCGGCCTGCCAATCAAGACTCAGGTCGGGCACGTCCTCCTGCAGGCGGCTCTTGGGCGAAGGAATGGACGTGGCCGAGGGATGCTCAAAACGAGTCCAGCAAAACTCGTCGAAGAATCGCCCCCTGCCCATTTCTTGGAGGAAGAGAAGGAGGAGGAGGAGGAGGAGGAGGAGGAGGAGGAGGAGGAGGAGGACGACGAGGAGGAGGAGGAGTACTCCTCCTGTCGAGGCGCACGCCCGCCCGAAGAGCCCGCCGCCCCCCGTGGCGCTCCGGGCGGGCCCGCGGGCCCGCCGGGGGGGCGGCGCGCCCGGGGGCGGCCGCGGCCGCGGCGGCCCGGGGGGCGCGCCACGGCGGCGGCGCCTCCGCGGGCTCTGCTGCCGCTCGGGCTGTGGTGTTCCAGCCCGTCCCTCCTCCTCCTCCTCCTCCTCCATCCTCCTCCTCCTCCTCCTCCTCCTCCTCCTCCTCCTCCTCCTCCTCCTCCTCCTCCTCCTCCTCCTCCTCCTCCTCCTCCCTCCTCCTCCTCCTCCTCCCTCCTCCTCCTCCTCCTCCTCCCCCTCCTCCCGCCCGCTCCCCCACGACTTCTGAGGGGGGGAGGGGGCGGAGTTCGCTCTTCGCTCGGGAGGGCTCCCGAGCGAGGTGAACCCCACCCCATCGCCCTTCGGAGATCGTGGGGGGCAGTCGGTGGGGTTCGCACGTGGCCCCTTACCCCGGCCTGCTGTGGCCCCCATGACGGACGGACGAACACCACGTCGAGCAAGGCTCGGCCCCGGAAGGCTGGGTGGTCAGCGCCGCGGCGCCCAGTCGTCGGTCGAGCAGAATGCAGCTTCCAATTCATGCCATGCTGCAGAGTCTGAAGCAATATCTCTCCAACTGTTGAGGGAAACTTCCATACCTTTGCCGTTCAGGAAAGCGGCGATCTCATCGATCCATCCATAGCCCCCTGATCACTGGAAAGGGAGGATCTCGAGCACCACGACGGTACCGAAACTCGATGGTTTTCACGTGTCTGGCCCTGGGAAGCGGTAATACTCGTTCAACGCCGGTTCGGTACTCTTCTGGATACTCGGAATGATTTCTGGGATGTGGCCCTTGAGCACGATGGGAACAGCATAACGCTCGGGGGGGCTCTCGCGGGCGATCCTGAGCCAAAGCCACGCTCACGGACGGCGATGTTGGAAAGATTGCTCTTGCGACGCCGAACTCGCGCTGAAGAGATGATGGCCCCCATCACCCCCTACTTGCCGCGCGCCGCGAAG